TTAAATGCTATGAGAAGGGAAGGAAACAATGACGTAGGAAATGGTGAAGGAAGTAGTTAAGGCTGGCATCGCAGAGTGGGGTGATGATTTTCCCCGAGCAAAGCTCGGTCTCCAGGTACTTAGTTTAAAACAGTAAAAGAGAGTATTCAAATTTAAAACTATAGAAACTGTATTTCCGGAGCAGGAATTCAGTATTTTAAAATATTATTAACGGTAGCCTATCCTAAATAAATACATTGATTTGCTGGTCTTGCACACTAAAGTCCATTTGCGGCTACAATTAATAAATAATTACCTAGGATTTTATAGAAGTCCACTTTAACTAAGGCGTGTAAATAATTGGTTAGGCTTGTACAGTTACGATTACGATGCGTAGGCCTAATGCCTAGACTGCTAGGCCTATACAGAAGTTCAGTTATAGCTATTTATTATAATTAAATATTTAACTAAACTTGTTAACTTGTGTTGTCCAATTTTAACTTATAAGTGTGGAAATAATTTTCTCTGTGCAGATATACAGACACAGTTACAATTACACATGCCAATGTTGTAAATATATGTTCAGTAATTTATGTCTGTTTGTTTAAATGTATATATTTTTATTTAAAAGTCTGATGCCATCAATCCTTTTTGGGTAAAAGATGAAGATAATAAGGCAATAATTACAAAAAGTAGAGCCTAGACTGCTTGGCCTGTACGGGAGTCCAGTTATAAAATAAGCGTGATATAATATTCCTATTTTTTTCCGTAATACTATAAGATGAATTATTACAGCTAACAGAACAGCATGCACGTTGGCATTTTTATGTCAGGTTGAAAATTTAGTACAACCCAATAAATAGGCTTTACATCAACACAGTGCAGGTTTTCAAATTAAATTGCCATAGCCTAATATAAAAACGTCTTTTATATTTGATTTTAATAATTTTGTTGTACAGTAGTTTATTATGCATATACAGTATTTTACTTAATCATGCTGTAATTTAGCATGAGGAATAAATATATTCGTGTTTAATTCATCAATTCTCTATCCGGTGCCGTCTTTAAAATCTAATATATTTATTGAGTACAGTAGGCCTATTTTGGCATCGGGGCGGAGCTAGCGCAAACGTCACCAATTCAATGCCACTAGCTTCGCGGCAACCACCGTCTTTTTCAGGGTACCTTATCATCAGCTCGTGAAATTAGCCACGCCTTATTTCCTGTGGTGACCATTGACTATGGTATTGCCATATATAGTCACCTTCTTCTGTCATTCTGTTCCCTGAGCAAAGTTTACTAATTGGCTAAATGTTTTAGTAGGAGAAAATGAGAAGGAAGCCTATAGGCCTATTAATTAAATGGGAGCTAAACAAACATTATGATATTGACAAAATAATACTTATCTTTTTACAAACACACAGTTTTACTATTACTCATATAGACAAGTAAAAATCAATGACCTAATAAAAACAGCTGACTGGATTCATATTTCCTTCAACTCTTCCAACCAACCACGAGAATTCAATTGGATTGTTGCTATGGTGACGTCATCATGTATTCAATTTGAATCATGAAAACAAATTAAAGTTATTTGTTTATATCAAAGCTTGCTTACTCCGCTCAATTGGCGGACCTGAGGCCGCATGCCTAGTATTAAAATGTAGGGATGGACGGGATTGAATATTTAGTTCGGGACGGGATTTTTATTTCCTTCCCAATTTTTTGGACGGGACGGGATTTTCTCCAGTGCTTAAAAAGAAAGTATTGAGTATTGCAGTTACCAAACAAGACAAACAAAATCAATGTTTACCATTTGTGGCACTGATATATAAAAACAAAAGAATGGGTAAAATGACTCACAGTCACGGTGCTATCGTCAAAATGACTCTCGGTCACGGCGTGATCGTCGGTATAACTCCGCGGTAACTTCGTGATCGTAGGTATGACTCCGCGGTCACGGGATGGTCGTCGGTATGACTCTGTGGTCACGGTGTGATCGTTGGTATTACTCGCGGTCACGGCATGATCGTCGGTATTACTCGCGGTCACGGCATGATCGTCGGTATAACTCCGCGATCGTAGGTATGACTTGGCGGTCACGGCATGATCGTCGGTATTACTCGTGGTCACGGCATGATTGTCGGTATAACTCCGCGGTAACTTCGCGATCGTAGGTATGACTTGGCGGTCATGGCATGATCGTCGGTATGACTTGTGGTCACGGCATGATCGTCGGTAAAACTCCGTGGTAACTTCGCGATCGTAGGTATGACTTGGTGGTCACGGCATGATCGTCGGTATAACTCCGCGGTAACTTCGCGATCGTCGGTATGACACGTGGTCACGGCGTGATTGTCGGTATGACTCGGCGGTCACGGCGTGATCGTCGGTATGACTCCGCGGTTACTTCACGATTGTCGGTATGACTCCGCGGTCACGGCGTGATGACTCGCCGTTTCGGCGGGATCGTCGGTATGATGCCGCGGTCATGGCACGATCGTAGAAATAACTTCGCCTCCTGCGTTTGCGGAACTATCGTGAACATCTCTCGCGATAGCGGCGTCATCGTCACTCGCTAAGCGGTAAAATCGCCGACGATCGGATCAAATCCCGTCCTGAATCAAATGTAATCCCGTCCCGAAAATCGGGAATATTTTTTTCCGAAAATTTCCCAAAATTTCGGGACCCGTCCATCCCTATTAAAATATTGATAGCTTAATATAAAATAAACAAAATTACCTAATTTCATAAAAATTTAAAATATATCCATAAACAAGCAAACTACAACAGTTTATTTATTCTCTATAAGAACATGAGAATTTTCAATTTTAACTTTTTTTTTGTTTTATCCGTAACCGTTAGGTAGGTACGGTTTGTAGGTGATACAATAATGCTTCAATATACTAAATAACTAGTGTACCTGTTGCTCGAATTCGAGCAATTGCGAAGCATTACAGGCGACTCAAAGATTATGGAAATACTCACGATCTACACAACAGTTGGATATAATAAAAATCTTTTGTAAATATCTTATCTTTTTTCAAAAAGCTGATCTTGTTCTTTTAGTGTTTTTAGGGTAAAAAAAAACATTATTTCTATTTCTTCTACTTGGTTGTGTTCTATGACTTTTTCTATGTTTCCATTGTTTGCAAATCGGTTATTTCAATGATTGCTCAAGAAATGTAGCACAGTGTTCAGTTCAGTTTTATTCGGTTTTATTTTTAGCCTATATCAAATTGTCCAGGATTTCTCGCTCTTTTCCATTGTAATAATTACACCAACCCAAGTTTCGTCTACAGATGCAATATGCCAAAGAATATCACCTACGTACAATCTCCAAGAAGTGGTAAAAAAAGGCAGAAACCAACCCATACAATAGATATAAGTTAACTCCATAAAAAATAATTTTAAAAGTTACTGTGCTGATATTAGGATTTTCCACTGATTTGGTAATAGAACATTATATTGCAAAACATGACACGATGCAGAAGAAAATCAATTTTAAAATCAGAAAAATCCATTGCAAATACTGTACTTCATTTTGACAAATTCAATAAATCACAATTTAAATATTAACAGCTGTTGCATTAAAAAGTAGTGTAGAATTATGCATATGGTCGTAATGTAAACAAATCTGAAGAGGCAACTTTAAAGGCTTCTGGGGCAGAGCTCAATATACTAAATAATTCCCTTTATTAAGCTCTATAAAATGGTTTAGGAAGAAATGTATAAAATTTTATGTTTTAGGGTAAAAAATGGAAAAACCAGTTTTCACCTCATAATTCCCCGTTCCCACAGTTAACAGTTAACACTATTGTAATTCTTAAAGAGTTGTATAATAAAGTTAATTTTTACTTTGACATTGAGGTAAGACCGGTCTGTTTTCAGTAACTTTTAGATATCCTTATTCCATTGCTTTGCAAGTTGTTCAGGGCAAGCTTAGCCTTGGGCCAAACCTTCCCCTCAGGAGGGAGCTATTCTCAGTCCTAAAACAGGCAGGGACAGATATATCTTGCAATGAAATATGGTTCTCTTGTATCAAACAATCAAGAGCTGCTCCAGGACAACTGTTTATTGTCCCTGTAAAGACCAGCAAGTCTCTGCACTCCTGCAATAACTTTAACCGCACCAGCAGATTGCACCATAGGCCACCACACAAGCGAACCATATGTCCTGGCAAGTCATAGATAGGCAAAGAATTCAACTAACAGTAAAACTGATTACCGGACACAGGCGGTTCGTAACAGGTCTAATAAATAATTAAATAAATAATAATAATTAGTAATAATCAAATATAAACAAATGATTAATTATCGGAACAGTACGGTAATTAAATAAATTGTCAATATTTAATTCAATAATGGACGCTTTAGTTAGGATGTTACCTGGTGGATAAATTAGGGTCAAATGGTTTTAAAAAGGATTATTTGTAATATGTTCCAAGATGGTGAGATGAAAGGGTTGTTTGTTGTTGAAGAAGATGAAGGGCGGGACTAGACACAAATCGGTATTCTGCGCATCCAGTTGGAGTGCTTTGAGAGGGTTGAGAACTACTGTAACGTTTTTAAGCTTAAAAACGGAAGTTTTCCGTTTTCATGGTGTTGGAAGTTCCAAATTGAGCAGTCGACGCGCATGCTCCTTCTTCGCCAGCTTTTGTTGAATTAACACCGTTGCCAATCGAATCATCGTGCGTCATGTAATCCACAAGTCTTGCTTGATTAACTGAGTGTTGATCAACTGAGGTTTTGTGTTAAACGGGCATGAACAGTTCATTACATTGGTCCACAATACCTCGGTGAACACACTGTATATTGTGTCTTAGTATTGACTTTTGGCTCTTCTTCCTAATAAATCTGTACTTACCAAATTTGTCACCTTCTGGTTGGTCCACATCAGTCTGAGTTTGTCGGACTATCCTGTGTAGGTGGTGATGGGAAATTTTGGATTTGTTTGATTTCTTGATTTTTAAAGAGTATTTAAGCTAGTATTTTTAGAATGACATACAACTATTCGCCTACCTGTGATAGCGCTACTCCCAGAGCGATGCCTGCTATAGTGTACAGGTTCCGTTCTCCCCAGGACCGCACTACCTCTATACACCCACTGGTCCACACCTTCTTGCTGGCCTCCGCTACCTGTAGATGGAAATAATTATAATTTATATTAAGTGACAAAAATTTACACATGCAAAAGTTCACTATCCTGTTTTAAGTTTAATTTCTCAGTTAGACTAATGCCACACGAGGCAATTTTCTCAGCTCAGAAATTATTGCAACTGAAATAATCGTTGCAGGATGTCACAAGTAAAGCGTTTAAAACAGCAGTAGGCCTACTCAGGTTGTTGCGACTGAACACCACCTGTGTGGCAGGTTAGCCAACGGTAATGTCAGCTGTAAAAGTGGACCCAGGCCCATCCTCGCCCGACAGTCACCATATGAAATTTCCGCTTGGCGGTTTTTATCGTTTAATGTGGCAAACACCATTCACGTCTGTTGTTTCTATTTTTTCAGCTACAAAAACAGTTGTCGTCAGCTGTAAAAACCGCCTCGTTTGGCATTAGCCTTAAAAGTTGGGTAGACAAGTGGTTAGAGATCTTACTTGTTACACAAGAGGGTTCTTCTCAGAACCTACAAAAATTGATAGCAGATGATTCACCAATCAACTTTTGTAAATATTTTGTCCATCATCTGTAAAAATAACATTCAACACAAATGTGCAAGTGCCCAACAGTATAGCAAATATCTATGAGGTAAAAATTGTTGACCATTTAAGCTTGGTAGGAACTGGTCCCAAGAGTTACAAAAATGTTAGATTGTGTAGTTTATTTTTTTTTTCTATTTTTATTTCAATATATGTTTTTGCGTTTAATTTTTATGAGGACAAGGATGAAAACAGACTGCTTAGTATGAGTGATATGAACAGTAAAAAACATTATTTGAACCTAACAAGCCTTTAACGGCTTTTGTAGCTGATTCAGTGTTTATAAATATTTGCAAATATTAAGTTTTGTATATAAAATAAGTAGTGATGGGCGGATACAAGAAAATGTCGGTACCGGATCCGGATCTTGAAAAAATCGGATCCGGATCTTTGGATCCAAACACAGATAAGTTTTTTTTTCTTTTTTCAAGGGCGGGTTTTTTTTTATTAATTCATATGGCTAGGCAATGTCAAAGACTAACTGTGTCCATATAAAAACTCTTAATATGTGTCTTTATTGAAAACAAAGTTATCACAATTCTACGTTGCGCAATCATTATCTGATTATCGATCGTAATTTTGAGGAGATACGAAAGAGAAAAACTACCACCTAACGCGTTGTCTTTCTAACACAGCTATTCGTATCGTAATCTACAACGCAGTGCGAGTGCGTGATTGGCTCGTCGCTACGACGACACACGGTTGCCGTGACAACCTACAGTGCGCACTGAGCACTGCGCCTTGTGTGGGAGGGGAGATTATACCAACAAACTATTTCAGTAATTCCATTTCGGGACGGATGAAAGATAAGGAAGAAACAAAAAGTGGTCACGTGTGCAAATGTAGTGGGCGAGACAATAAGGCTATAAATGAGTATTGTCGCATCGTTGTTTCTTGTTTGTTTACTTTTTCAGATTCTCTATTAAACGCCCCTATCTGCTATCTCTCTCTCTCCCCCTCTCTCTCTAACGATGTACTGATTAAACAGATTGTGTTTGACGACTTTTTTACTTATAAGTTTCCCTGCGGTTATTTTAGTTAAATCAATCCCATAACCTTTCTATTGTTTATCAAAATAATTAATTAATCTGTTTTGTATTTTATTTCCTTTAAACCAACCCCTATTTACCATCTGTATTTTATAGAATAAAATGTTTGTTTATAAAGTTTGACTGGCCACACAATTTTGTACCTATTTTATTTTGTATAAATAAAATAGGTTATTTATCACAGTTACTTTGATGATTATACATATAATGAATGCTTTTTATTATCAAAATAAGTAATGAATTATTAATTTTTGATAATACAAGGGTCATTGAATACCATAATGTCATGTAGTTTCCTATTTGTAACTTGCAAATAGTAATAATTGATAGTTAATTCTGGAAAATGAAAAATAGTGAACGCACACATAAACCTGTTATCAAAACAGTAACGCGGGTGTAAGGGTTTATTGTTTCAGAGGCTAGGGTGTTTCAAGGACAAAGTGTTGGGCCTCCCGGCCTAGGGGGGAGGGGTGGTGGTGAGACTGCAAGAGGGGGAGGTAACTGGTTTTGGCTATTTATTGATTAGTTCACCGACCCTTCTAGCTAGACAACAAAATTGAGTGACAGTGTTAAATCATTGTGTTCTGCATTTCATTTCTTGTTTACTTTTTGTGTTATCCTATTAATTTTAGTGATTTGGTCTATTCCCTCCTGGTCCCTTGCAAATTGTATTATCAATGCTAAATAATCGTGGGCAATTCAAATTATATTTTTGATTATTCAAATCTCCTACACAAAAAGACAAAAGTCAAACCAGGCAAGGAAAAAACCTGCTATTGTAATCCCCATACCCAGCTATATGGGAAGTGGTGAAAGTCTAGTCTATATATAGCTCAAAGGTCTCACCCTTCCCTTCCCCCCCAACCCCCTACTCAATGTTGCTATTCCGCTCATTTCGAGGTCATTGAACAACCCCTCCCTCCCTTCTATTGTTTTGCCTTTATAGTGTTTCTATTCTGACTTTTATAAACATAAATTTATTGCTTACGTAACAGTTCAGTAGTGGAATTTTCTATTGTGAAACAGTAGGCCTACTTTAAAACAAAATCACTACCGATCATGTCATTATATTCTGTGTCAAGTAAGTACTGTATACCATTGCCAGTCAGTCACCGGCGACTGCTTTGAGTTGACCTATTCTGTCGTGACAGCTATAAAAATAGGTTAGGACAACTATCTCTTGCTTTTAGCGAATTTCCCTATAGGGAATAAGCTATTACCGTAGGTCTCATGGTAAGACTTAGTCCCGGGACCGATTTACTTTTTCATTTTGATGTTCCTAGAAGCCAAAAACACCATCCGTTCAAATTCATATATATATATTATATATTTATATATTTATATATATATATTTGTGTCCGTCAGCACGATAACTCGAGCAAAAATGATCCGATTTCGATGAAATTTGGTACAAACGTGTAAACTTACGTTTATTCGAACGAGTTTGCGAGCCAGCATGATCGGACCATGGGAACGGGGTTTTATGGGGGGATTTATGGGGTAAAAATTGGTTTTTCTCATTTTTGACTCTCAAAACATAAAATTTTTCCAAATTTCTTCTAGACCATTTTGAAGAGCTTAAAAAAACAAATAATTCAGTATATTGAAGTGTTTTTGTATGGTTATTGGTTACGGAGAAAATTATAAATTAAAAATTCCCATGTCATTCTTATGGAGAATAAGTAAACTTTTGTAGTTTGCTTGTTTATGCATATATTTGGATCAAACTTGGCCAATCGATTTATTTTATACTAAGCTGTTAATATTTTACTGAAAAACACACTTTATTACCCTGTAGGCAGCAAACCTAGGTACTCGTTAAACCTAATGTTATTTGAATAGATTTAATTGAAAATCAAATCAGGCAAATGGAAATTCGCTTAGTCTGCAGGTTTGCTGCGGCGGGGGTATTTTTCTATATTTGTATTACTGTAGAATCTACAGTAATACAAATTATCCATCATTTTATGTAAACACAAGTTACATTTTAACAAATGTTGATTTTTTACAATTTTTAACCAAACTGGTGGAGTTCAAAGATAAGCTCGAGTTTCAAGGCCGTACTCTACTCGAACTCGAAATCTCGAATACTCGCCCGTTTTGTGTTAATAGTATAAAAAAATGCGGATCCATTAAAACCGGATCCAGCCCAAGATTTTTTGTGGATCCGATCGGGCATCGGTTCTAGCTCAGATCCGGCAGTCCGATATCCGGATCCGACCATCACTAAAAATAAGCAAACTATCTGCCTTCCAATATCACTATCCTCTTGTTTGCTTATTGCCTATTACTTTTTTACAGTAGAACCTGGATTAAACTAGGACGGATAAACCAGGCGGCGAATCAACGGTGGTCAATAGATATCTCAAAATTACGTTATGGTACATAACTTCATTATCCAAGAAAGTTTTTTAAATTGTATTTCTTAACTCAAGTGTAGTAAAATGCATTGTTAAACTATTTTAGTCCATTATTGGTATTTAGTAGGCTCCCACATTTTTATTTTAAAACATCACAGTTCATTTGAAAAAATAGAACAAATAGAATCAGAACAAAGAAAAATATTGATCAAGCTCCAAGGTGATATCACGCTTGCGCTGACAATCATCTGCTCCTAACACATCTAGGTGATTATTATTGTCAATGCTAGATGATTATTATTATCAATGCTACTAATGCTAGTTGCCTATCATCATCGACAGTCTTCTGTTAAAACATCACTTACCGGTAGCCTATCACTAGCAGTCGTTTACTCAACTTTCTGTTTTGTTTTCAAGTGATTTATTACAGTACAGTGATTAGCAAATCTTATGTTAAGTTTGAGATAGCTGTGATATAAAACTGAACAGTCTTTATAACTTAACCAAAGTTAATATGATAGCGTAATAGTATATTTTGACTAAGGTATGAAAACTCCAAATTATGACATGTCTATTCTGCTTGACAGTATTATTATGGGCCTGTCAAAATATTTTATACGATCTTGGATTAATGGTGGTTTTCAGTTATCCGTGGTCTCCTTCCCATTAATTACCTCGGTACTACTGTATATTACTCATACGCTGTTTTATAGAAAATTATCACAGTTTCCTGAATTCTGATTAGGTACAATTCTGTTACAATTTATCTACATCTATAAACAGGCTTAATGTAATATTATTTTTAGTAGGAGTTGATTAAACACTTACTGATGACTCCTGTACTCCGTAGCCACACATTATGTTGACAAGACCACTCTGAAAAAATAAACATTCAATTATTATAACTTGTTACTGTGTTCTATGAAAATCAATTATTACTGCGGTGCATAACAAGATACAGTAGACTCCCTCTTAAGGACACCTTCCGGACTACACTCGACGGAAATAACATCTCTTTAACCGGACAATTTTTATAAGCACATTGGTTTGACCGGACTGGATCGGCAGGAAGTGGGCAGTACTGAAACGACTGTTCTCATGGGAATGATTTGAGACCAGTGTTCACATGTCTAAAAACAATGCTCTCCTAAATTTAAGTCGAATATCACAATAAACAGTCTGTTTTAACGAGTTTTTGGGAACGTCGGTTTAACCGGAAAACCCGTTATCCGGAATGGCCTCGGTCCTGAGGAGTCCGGATAAGAGGGAGTCTACTGTAGATAGTATATCGAACATTAAGTTTATTTTTATTTTTTATTGTTAAATCGTTATTTTTTTACTAATCAAATTTAACTACCAATTTGCCAAAGAATATGAGCAAGAAAATTTGGCTAGAACAAGTTGCTTATCATTAGGCCTATTCCACATAAAAGACAAACAACAAATATAACAAACAAAACCAAATCTTGTTATGTCTAATTTATCTTGAAAGGGGTCAAAGTCATAGATAGAGACAATATACTCTAAATGGTGATGGGGAGTTAGTTTGACAAATTGATGCTTGGTGGCAGCACCGAACGGACGAATCGCCTGACTCACGTAGTCACATTTGACTTGAGTGGTGGCAAAACAGCCAACCAGAGGCCAGTTCCGGGGCTCACATGATTTTGGAACTTTCACCATCCCTTCTTCTTCCGGTTCAAGACGTTACACACGAGATGGACGATGTCTAGCTGTTTGGAGTCTAGAGACATTTTATCTATATACATCGTGGTAATCTTTTGTGGAAATCCCTCTTCATAGGATACATAGTTGTGCTTCTTATATTACATACAAGATATCACCAAGGAATTATCAGTGAAGTGAATGCATTGCTGACAATTAAGTGATTCATCTAGATCGTCAAGACTACGAGACCCTAGATCCAGTGGACATTGTGTTTCATATTCAGCCTATTTTTGGGTAAGCTGCATCCCTCCGACTTTCGACAGACATCTTACTGATATGACTACAGGATCAATGATGACCTATTATCTACTTGATAATACCAGCCGATGACCGATGGGAGAGTATAGACGACAGGAAAATGGACTTAACCAGCTACACCACAGCGACCATACAGTACTACGGACCTAACCTACTCAGCACCCTTCGCCAAGGAAACCCAACTTAAAAGCTATGTATATTAATATTTAAGTTACATATCTAATCAATCTTTTAATTTACCTGATTAAATATTGTATAAGTTAGGTCTGGATTAGCTCATTCGGTAGGAGGGTAATTTTGTTGTGATAGGGTATTATTTCTAAATTCATTAAATTAAGTAATTTTTTATCTATTCCATTTTATTATTTTACCATGTTCTATAAGTTTATGTTTATTCAAAGTAATAGTAACAGAATAGGTTCAGCCCAAGTAAACTAATATCTAAAAGTAATAACAAACTAAGCCGGAACTGTTACAATCTGCTGAAGAATATATGTATTACATTATTGGTAAAACTTTATTAACAACTAGCTGTTGTACCTGTCATGTATATATGTAAATAGTGTATATAGTAAAGCAAGATGAACAAAGATTAAGCCTGCCTACAAGATTAAAAAAAAAAAAAAAACACTATGAAGATCCTAGAAATGGAACGAGGATTTGGTCTTCTCTATCCGGCAATGAAAGTGAGTAGTTGTGTCAAAGTATCTACATACGTTTTACATAGTATATTTTAATCGGCAAACCCTTAATATCAATTTACGTGTTTAATATTTTAAAGTGGCGCAGTCGGGGAGTGATTTTTTTAGTTTAAAAGTTTTATTGAAAGTTTTAATAAGTGTGATTAATTATTTTAAGACTCAAGTCTAACCCACATTTTACACCCAGCACATGGGGCATACATGCTCGATTTTCGTTTTTCAAGGGTTTTGCCTTTACAAATAGCTGATGAGAAGCCTAAATGTCTACAGTCAGGTAAAAAATTGCTACTAATATTGAAGAATTGCTAAAACAAAGCACTGAAATTAGAAAAATCTGACATCTATACTTTCTAAAATTCAAGACCCAGGTCGTAAAAACGACAATACAATACAATACAATACAACATTCTTTATTGTTAATTCGTTAAGAATTACAATAGTGTCAATACAATAGTGAATTGTACATGTTAATTTCCATAATTTTCATAAAATTCCTTTATTGAGTAGAAGGGTCTTGTGATTAGCCACTTCTTCAACTCCTGGTGTAGCTTGTTGCCAGTCAGGTCTCTCAGGTAGTCAGGTAGATGGTTCCTCAGCTTGCAGCCGGTGTAGGAAGGTTTTTTCTCCCAAAGAGTTGTTCGGTGAACTGGTAGTGCAAATTTGGAGCCATGACGGGTGTTGTAGTGGTGCAGGTCTTGGTTTCTTGGGGGGTTTATTTCATTCACATACTTTATGGTTTCAAGTATGTAGAGAGACACCACTGTGAGGATTCCTAGGTTTGCGAATGCTAATCTGCAAGTCTGTGGTGGGACAAGGTTGGCGAGGGCTCTTATGGCTTTCTTTTGAAGGACAAGAATTTGATTCATATTTTTTGTTGAAGTTCCTCCCCAAACTGTCAAGCCATATCTAAGATGCGACTCTACCAGTGCAAAGTAAGCTGTTTTGGCCACAGAGAGTCCGCCTATGTAGTTTATTCTTATGACGACATATATTCCAGTACTGATTTTTTTGCTTAGGTGGTTGATGTGCTCTTTCCATGTTAGTTTGTTATCAAGGATAACACCGAGAAATTTTGTGTGGTTTTCTATTGTTACATCCTCTAATTGAGGGAATATGGCTTTTTTCTTACTGAAATTCAGAGTTGTAGTTTTTGTGGGGTTTATTGCTAAGTCATTGTTCTTTGAGTAGAGGATAGCTTTATTTAAGATCGATTTTGAATTAAGGTATAGGCTTTGGGCTGTGTTGTCCTTGATCAAAATGGTCGTGTCATCTGCATACATGATTGCAACAGCATTTGCACTCTCAATTTTTTTGGTGAAGTCATTAGTCAATAGGATGAATAGAATCAGGCCTAATACAGAGCCTTGTGGAACTCCTCTTGTCAGCTTGCTTTTTGAAGATTTGAAACTTTCTGTGACTTCATTTGATGAGTTTTTCAGTTCCACGACTTGTGAACGTCCCGTTAGGTGGCTTTTGAACCATTCTAGCGCAGAGTTTCTTATACCAAGTCTTTCGAGTTTCTTGCATATCAGGTCGTGGCCCAGGCAGTCAAAAGCCTTACTGTAATCAAGGAAGATGGCGGAAATGTATTGTTCGTTTTCTATCTGGTCTAGGACGTACTCAATTAGTGCTGTTATAGCTGAGGATGTAGATTTATTCTTCCGAAAGCCATGTTGGTTGTCAGTTAAGAGTTTGTTATGATTAAGATGTGCCATTAAAATAGCCAGAGCAATTTTTGCTATGATTTTAGAGAAACTGGAGATGAGAGAGATGGGCCTGTAGTTTTGAGCATTTTCAGTTGGTCCTTTTTTATGTTTAAATGATTTATTTATAAGATAAACCAGAGGAGAGATCCAGAGAAGTGTAAATTTACAGTATTTAAAAACTTCTCTCCTTAGCTCTTATCTCCTTTCGCCGCTACTGCAAAATCTTTGGTTCGCTCAATGGATTTTTCTACTGATTTCAATTCTTTAATTTTCTGAAAAAGTTCATGAGAAACTATTGTGTAAGAACTGCCTGTATCTACCAACGCTTTAATTGTGTATTTACCAAACTTAACTGGAATTGAACATAAATGTATTTTTGGAATTCTTGGAGCATGTTTTGATTTATGATCTGTACTACTATTCTTTATCTCGGCGTTTGATTCGGCGCCTTGGCACTTGCGAGGGTGGGTCGCGCCTATCACCGCCCTAGGCTGGAGTTTTGTTGGTTTTGATTGCTGAAAATCACCTGGTTGTGTGTGCCGATAGGCTTGGCGTTGATTGTTAAATCTACCCTGAGGCCAGAATTGGTTTTGAGGTCGTGTCGGTCGTCGCCACCATGGGAATTGTTGTTGGTACGTTTGACGTGGCCTAAACATACGATCGCCGTTCGGACGACTCGCGCAATATCGCACTGTGTTGGGTCTATAAGGAAATCGCGGTTGCCCTAATTGCATTTGGTTTGCGCCGCTATTTCGGTTTTCATGCTCTCTCCACGCGTGATTTGAATCTCCAATTCGTCCTTGGCGATGCAGCCTGTCTGGGAAAAATCTATCTGTTGGTTGGTTTTCGACGCGCGGCCTATCCGTATTACGCTCCGAATCTCTGATTACCTCCATTCGTGGTATTAAATGCAACAACTCTTCCACTGTACTAGGAGCCGGAAATCCTGCCAAGTTGGCTCGGCTCGCTGGGTTCACCCCTGTGAGAATTATATCTAACAGGTTGATGCTGGATTTCAGCAAAATTTCGGCTGAATTCTGTACATTGGTAATAAAGTCACTAAGAGGCACGTTGCATCCTTGGGTGCGGTAAATCGAATTGGAAACCAATTGCTGCCCAGCTCTGTCTGGCAAAAACATTTTGATGATCTGGTCACGCAATGTGGCTATTGACACCCCATTAGCAATGGCCGATACCCAGATAGATCTCAGCTGACTGTCGGTTTTCGGCAAAATCGCCACTAGGGCTGTCTTTTCGTCGGTTAACCCTAACTCGAATATTTGCTGGACTCCTATCAAAAATTTCAACAAGATCTGACCATCTGCTCCTGTACATTTTCTCAACGCCGCCACCATGTCATACAATGCTCGTGGTGTGTCCCTAGACGTCGCCGGTTCCCGATTGCGTAACGCAGCTACAATGTTTTGACCCACGGCCGCAGCTGTCGCTTGTATTATCGACGTCCAGTCTCCTACTTGAGTAGCCGCTTCTGGCTTGCCTACATTTGCCGGCTGAATCATACTTTTAGCGAATTTCCCTATAGGGAAGTACTGTAGCTATTACCGTAGGTGGCACGGTAAGACCTAGACCCGGGACCGATTTACTTTTTCATTTTGATGTCCCCAGAGGCCAAAAACACTATTCGTTCAAATTTTTATATATGTATATATATATATATATATATATATATATATATAGACTTATATAAATAAAGATTAAACATTAATAAACTTAGAACCCAAGTAAAATTATTTATTAAAATATTTACTGACTATAGTTTCGGCTCTAAGGCCATTTTCAAAGTAAACAAAAATCAAAATAAGATATGTAAAATAAATAAATAACATATGATTTTATAAAACTTTTCTAACTTGTAACATAATTTTGTCTTCATTGATTAATTTATATATTATATGATGTGTTGTACTTATTTTCATTAATATTTTCTCAATTTTGCTATTGTTTCATATATTGGATTATTCAATTTTGGAATCATTGTATTTAAAATATTTGATTTGTTATTTTTGTTGTTCATATAAATATTAATTTCTTCTTTTACATTCAATTTTTCTCTGTCTTTTTCAATTTCTAATATTGTTAAGTTTTCTTCGATCTTAGTAAACTTATGTTAAGTACTTATGTGGATTTTAGTAAATGATCTGCAAAATTTGATTTCATTGATGTTTTGTTCTTCAATTTATATGCCTGTATATGTTCGTTGAATCTAACTTTAAAATTTCGATAGGTTTGTCCAAGAACAAAACATCAATGAAATCAAATTTTGCAGATCATTTATTAAAATCCAAATAAGTACTTAACATAAGTTTACTAAGATCGAAGAAAACTTAACCGCACACTTAACTTAAGTGACGGTTTAGCAGTGTTACTACTAACTTTTCAGCTAACTACAGGGAAGATGATTCAAATTACATTATCCTTTCAAATCATCAATTATCTCCACAACAAAATGTAAAATTCCTTGGATTAATTTTGAATAAAAATCTTAACTGGGCATCTCAAATTGAAAATTTAAGTAAAAAATTAGACCCTTGCATTTTCTCAATAAGAATAATCTCACAAGTAACGAATCTAGAAACCCAGCTAATAATATATCATGCATATTTCTCATCATTAATGACATATGGTATCTTGATCTGGGGTAACTCTCCTCATTCAAAAAAAATTTTTAAATTACAAAAAAAAGTAATACGAATTATTGGCAAAGTTCCCTCTAGAACCCCTAGTAAAAAACTGTTTCAAAACTTTAAAGTTCTTACTTTTTACGATCACTATATTTTGGAAATAGCATGCTGGGTCCATAGAAACCTCTCTACTTTTATGGAGACCCAAACTCAACATAATTACAATACAAGAAAAAAGAATATTATCAAACCTGTAGCTCATAATTTACAAATATTCGAGTCATCACCACAATACATTGGTCCAAAAATCTTAAATAACTTACCAACAAGTTTAACTACTCTAGAAACTCCCTATAAGTTTAGACTTTATTTAAAAGAATGGCTCAAGACTAAATCTTTTTTTTCATTGGCAGATTATTTTAAGGACTGCTGGAATTAGGTATAAGTAAACCTTCACACTCCTGCTGGCTCAATTTTTTTTTGTCATGTAAAAATGTTGTATTTTGGGAAGATTCAGTTGTTTTATGTAAATACAGATGTATTAGTTTTATCTATTAGTTTTAAGTCTTTATTTAACCATTGACAATATGTCCTGTTATTATAATGTAATGACATGTAACTCAATAAATAAATAAATAAATAAATATATGATAAAGTTTTAGGTTTAATAAACCTACCACCATTGAGATGAATAGATTATGACTGGAGTCACTACTCTCTAGTTGAACAATTGAGAAAAGCATGCCATCAAGATGACCGGTTTTGTCGGTCACACTGTCTCGGTTGGTTGGACTTGTCAAAAATAACCCCATTTGATTGGTTTGAATTTTAAAGCTATTCAACCAACCAACCATATGACCAACATAACAATACGAAAAACTGAAAAAACCAGCAAAAGCATTGGTATGCGTTTTAAACACAGAGTGGTGACTCCAGTTATAATTATAGCTCAAGCTCAGTGCCTACCACATAGTTGTGTAGTAGCTATTTACGTTACAAGTGTAGTAAGAGCGTTTTTACTCACCTAAGTGATGTAAACACATGGTGTCTACTAAACCTGGTTTGAAAAATTCAAGGAGTTTTCCAGGAGAATTCAAGACAAATTCCTGAATTTTAAGGAGCTACTATCGGAACCCGTTTAACTAATCGCAACCAGCTAATAAATGAAAATGATTATTATTAGGCTATTATTATTATTAATAATGATTATTATTATTTGAAACAAAACATTTCCAAAGAATAATATTTTATACAACATAATAAAACAGTATAACTGGTAGGTAAGGCGACACCAGTTATCATCTCCCGCGATTGTGGGAATATCAGTGAGCATATCTTGCAGTATCTTCAACATCAGCGACAAAACGTCACACCGTCAACGATCACGGCAACACCCGTATTCATATTTCGCGGTTTGGGCGACACCGATAACCGTCTCTCGCGATCGCGGCAATTCCCGTAGGCATATCTTGCGGTTTCGGCAACACCGATAATCGCCTACCGCGATCGCGGCAATAGCCGTGAGGAAATCTCGCGGGTTCGGCGACACCGATAATCGTCTCCCGTGATCGCGGCAACACCCGTGGGCATATCTCGTGGTTTCGGCGACACCGATAATCATCTCTCGCGATCGCGGCAATACCCGTGTTGAGCATATCTTGCGGTTTTAGCAACACCGATAATCGTTTCCCGCGATCGCGGCAACACCCGTAGGCATCTCACGCGTCTCTCGCGATTGCGGCAATACTCGTGAGCATATCTTGCGGTTTCGGCAACACCGATAATCGTCTCCCGCGATCGCGGCAATACCCGTGAGCATATCTTGCGGCTTTAGCAACACCGATAATCGTCTCCCGCGATCGCGGCAATACCCGTGCGCATATCTTGCGGTTTTAGCAACACCGATGATCGTTTCCCGCGATCGCGGCAACGCCCGTAGGCATCTCACGTGGTTTCGGCGACACCGATAATCGTCTCTCGCGATCGCGGCAATACCCGTGAGCATATCTTGCGGTTTCGGCAACACCGATAATCGTCTCCCGCGATCGCGGCAATACCCGTGAGCATATCTTGCGGTTTTAGCAACACCGATAATCGTTTCCCGCGATCGCGGCAACACCCGTAGGCATCTCACGTGGTTTCGGCGACACCGATAATCGTCTCCCGCGATTGCGGAAATACCCGTGAGCATATCTTGCGGGTTTAGCAACACCGATAATCGTTTCCCGCGATCGCGGCAACACCCGTAGGCATCTCACGTGGTTTCGGCTACACCGATAATCGTCTCTCGCGATCGCGGCAATACCCGTAGGCATCTCACGTGGTTTCAGCGACACCGATAATCGTCTCTGGCGATCGCGGCAATACCCGTGAGCATATCTTGCGGTTTTAGCAACACCGATAATCGTTTCCCGCGATCGCGGCAACACCCGTAGGCATCTCACGTGGTTTCGGCGACACCGATAATCGTCACCCGCAATAGCGGCAATACCCGTGAGCATATCTTGCGGTTTTAGCAACATCGACAATCGTGTTCCGCGATCGCGGCAACTCCCGTAGGCATATCTCGTGGTTTCAGCGACACCGATTATCGTCACTCGCGATCGCGGCAATACCCGTGAGCATATCTTGCGGTTTCGGCAACACCGATAATCGTTTCCCGCGATCGTGGCAACAAAAGCGGTAGTGTTTCGGTTAGGCGACGATTCCGATGACTGGGCTCCGGATTCCCGGAGGTTTGGGTGGATTCCTGGAGTTTTCCAGGACATTTCAAGGTAAGATAAAATTCCCGGAGGTTTCCCGGTTTTCCCGAATTTCCCGGAGAGTAGACACCATGAAACACGCTCTTGCGGAATGTGTAACGTACAAGATTTTACCTGACCCGACAATGTACAGGAGGTTACGTACAATATTTTTCATTATCCATTTCACTCATCTTATAACAGTAACGTTCTTTTACAAACAAAAGATAGGTTAGGAAAATACTTTAAAGCATAACAATAACATTCGAGCGCACAGCTGATTTCTAGCATTGAACGTCGTTGGCTCCATAGAGGTATATTTTATTAAGTTGAGCACTCAATGTTATTTGAATGGGTTTCATTACTTCACAGAGTGAGTTTTTGAAACTTTACTTCACCGAGTGAAGTAAAGAAGTTGTTTACGCTTGGGATAGGGAAGTTCAACATGGCGGGTTGGGTAAAATATTATATTTAATTTCTCTGGATCAGCTGTCTGATATTGTGAAATAAGCAATTTGGCGATCTTCTTGTTTACATTTAAATATCAAAGCAAATGTAAACATTGTGAATGTTCACATTGCAGCCATGGAGACCAATCAATATTTACTTTTAAAATCCTCAACTCAGAACTTTGAAAGCCAAAGGGGCAAAGCCAACAGTCAGCATCGAAGTGTGAATAGTCCTATGACCATCCTTGGTATGGTAGCTATATTTTTGCAAAGTTTAAGCTCAGTCAATTCAGTAGTTTTTAAATTAAATAGTAATAGACATACAGACAGACACCATCAAATTTTTATATAATGATATGGATTTGTATTTATTTATCACCAAATTCAAATCATGTGGAATTTAATGACAAGATAATAAGTTATAATAGTTATAGTTTAATAATAAGTTATCTACTATTTTTAGGTAGAGACGATTTTAAAATTTTTGTTGGTTAGACTCACAGATATATCGGTGGCGTTGATACAGCAGGAGAAAGGCACACCGCACTTCTCTACACTTGGAGAGCTGCAGTTGAAGTACTCATTTTTGGACCAGTCCATGTATCCCTCCGAGCTAAGTCCACAGCATTTGAACTGAGAAATACACCAAGTCAATTACTCTATCACAAGATGGAAGCCTAACTAATGATTTAACACATATCATGTTTAGAATTACTAATCATAGTGGCATACAATATTTTTTCCTACAGTCACCCGACAAAGTTGGCTTCCTTGTACTGTTTATAGTACAGAAAGCTGCTAATTGCTGCATATTTATACTTTGCCGTACGGTTTATACTTTGTCATACGGTTTATACTTTGCCGCACATCAGGATTCCAACGAAACAACACAAAACAGCATGGTTCTATTATGCAAGTAATCCGTGTACGCTTGGAAATAGGTTGGCAACACTTAAAGATAATAATACTATGAGCAGCTGATTGACTATTATAACTACGATTTAACCTGTCATTTCGTGTTTATAGTTTCGGTATTTCTGAACTTTCTAGACTTTTCTCTTAAACGTTTTTAAAACATTTCTACGATCTTAATAAACAAGAAAATACCTTTAAAGCATTTTTTTAGGCGCGGAAACCACTTCAAATTACAAAAACATACGGAACTATATTCTCAAAACGCGGAGCACATTTCTTGCGGAGGAAAAATAGCGGAGTGATACGGACCGTGGGTACTACTTTCTCTAGGGCACCATTTGTGTTGCCAGCTGAACCTAAAAACGTGTTGTATAGTGTTTGAAAGACTAATTATTTATATGCTTTATAGTGACTGTAGGAAAAATATAATGTGTAACACGAGTGAAAAAGGCCTTTGCTGCACTCGAGATCATTCGTAAACATTGCTCTCGTGTGCAGCAAAGTGCCACTTTCACCACTAGTTACACAAATAACTAATTTGTGTAACGAGTGTGCGAAGTAGCACTTTGCTGCACATGGGGGAAATGTTTATTCACGAGCCGTGGGCGAGTGTGGAAAGTTTCTCGAGTGCAGCAAAGCTTATCATTTGAAAATTGAATCGTATGGGTACATTATTTCCATAAATGCATCAGCGCCTTATATAATTCGTACTAGGTAGTCTTATAAGTTAGCCTAGCCTTAAAGAAAGATATTTGTCAAACTAAGAGTTTCAATTGAGTTATGTTCCTAACACCAAAGGGGAATGTGTAACTATTTTATACAACAGAATTCAAGATCAAATTTTTTTGCTTCAGTGTCCTTTCCGTTTTGAAGCCCGGGTACAACAGCTAGTCTAACATAATTTTTGCAATTTTGTTATATTTTTTCAATTTTAGCGAATTTCCCTATAGGGAAGTAGCTATTACCGTAGGTCTCATGGTAAGACTTAGGCCCGGGACCGATTTACTTTTTCATTTTAATGTCCCCAGAGGCCAAAAACACCATTCGTTCAAATTTTTATATATGTATATATATATATATATATATATATATAGATTTATATATATATATATATATATATATATATACATATATAAAAATTTGAATAGATTTATATGTATATATATGTGTCCGTGAACACGATAACTTGAGTAATTTTTATCCGATTTTGATGAAATTTGGTTTGAAGGTGTAAGGCGGGATAAACTTGAATGAGTTCGCGATCCAGCATGATCGGACCATGGGAACAGGGTTTTATGGGGAGTTTTATGGGGTAAAAATTGGTTTTTCTCACTTTTTACCCTCAAAACACAAAATTTCCCAATTTTTCTCTAAACCTTCTTAAAGAGCTTAAAAAAACAAACAATTCAGTATATCAAAGTGTTTTTGTACGGTTATTGGTTACGGAGAAAACTAAAAAAATGGTAAATTTAAAATTCCCATGTTATTCTTATGGAGAATATTGTAAAATGTTGTAGTTTGCTTGTTTATGGATATATTTTGATCAAACTTGGCAAATTTATTTATTTTATAGTAAGCTATCAATATTTTACTAAAAACACACTACTTTATTAGTTTCCTTGTAGCAGCAAACCTAGGTACTCGTTAAACCTAATGTTATTTAAATAGATCAATTGAAAATCAATTCGGCCAAATGGAAATTCGCTTAGACGGCAGGTTTGCTGCGGCGGGGGTATTGCTGTATTACTTTTGCCTTGGCACCCGCGGCGCCCCACCCAGGCGACGGCCCTGTTTAGCAGGTAAAATCACAAAAGTTGCATTAACTTTCAATCAAAACCGTTTTTTTTTTTTTTTATCTGATTTCTTTTTATTTTACGGTTCTCTATGGGAAAATAACATAAGTTACAATAACTTTTTAAACATAATTTTTACAGGAAAGGGGGTTCTACCATTTTGTTAAGAATTTAAATGGCCACAACATAATAAATTTGAATACTAGATTTTTCTGTTAATTTATGGGTTTTAATGGAAAATTGCTATTAAAAATCTAAAATTAAAAAAAAAGAAAAAACTCCGGAGATACCATGGATACCATGTTATGTATCAAAATCCGACTACAGGTGTGGTCTGTAGCTTTTTACACATACAGACACATACACACACACACGGACAGACATCCCTTTGAAAACCAATTTTTTGGGTCAGGACCCAAAACAGGATATCCACTCAAAACTTAAACTCAAAAATTTTGACGCAAACAATTCTTTCTCCATATACTATGTATAGCCCCCTAAATAAGTAAATACAAGCAAGGCATGATGAGACCAAAACTAACGCAATAATATTGTTTTCTGCAAAACATATACCAGTAGTTTCAGTAGCTCTTTAAACCAGTGAAATTGAACATCCTTTTTTGTAAATATTCTAAATAGTGGTTATGGAGTGACAAACCTCCTTCTGAGCAAAGTCAATGAGATTCTGCAGATCCACGTCGTCTCTGTACGTGTGGATGATCTTGTCTGTGAAGGACTCCTCTAGCATTGACTGCAGGGTGTGAGGGAAGACAAAGCCCATGATAGCCACAGCCATCTCCAACAGGAACAGTATCAGCAGACACAAAGAGTACTGAAACAGACAGATAGAACACATCATACTCTCCTGAGTGCTATTCCGTGATTTCGGTACGTGGCAGATGTTCACGATTTTGCCGCAGTCTTGGGTGTCAGTGACGATAAAATCGTCTCCTTTGTTTAAGGGTAAGTTTTCAAGATTATTCCTCAATCGTGGGTGACAATGATGATTTACCCGTGATTGTGACCCGCGGGAGATGTTCACTATTTTATGCGCGTCTCTGTCTGCTCCAGGAGCAATGGTGTGCGATCGACACTAGCGGCTCAGATACAGACGCTGGCGGCTGTAGCAATAGACGCTTCTGGCAAAATAGGCTTGGTTGGCTTGTTACGGATTGTGGTGATTTTGCACCTTGACCACAAACATTTTGCAGGCATTTTTCAAAATCACAAAATTAGAACAAGATTTTGGTCTTGACAAAAATCCATATACTACTAAAAGTCCACCTGAAATTCGGGAATAATAATCAGCCAGGTATCTATTCAAATGCTGTATGTCCCTAGTTTGGAGCTAGAAAATCATGTTTATTATTTAATCCTACTGTCCCTTGCTACTCGATTCTAGAGATATTTTGCTGCTCACCCGACTTTCTGTGTACCGTTCGTAAAAATTGAAAAATTCGTCCAATTTCTGGTATTGGGTAAAAAGCATATTAATCTTTGATTTCTTCTCGCAGCATACCAAAAGTCCTCCTGCGACCCACCAGTGGTTCGTTAACTAAACAATGATGTAGACCAATCAATATTTAATTCCAAAAAGCTCCAACTCGAAACTTTAGATGTCAACAAAACAAAAGAACAATCAATGTCTATATGAAATATATATATACATATATGTATGTATATATTAAAATACTTACAAATTTTAAAAGACAAGTGTTTTCTCTCAAAGCCCCGACGAATCCTGAGAAACTAACAATGAAAACCACACCACCTGCCAATATCAGGACCAGTGAGATGTTCAGGACAACGTCATAGATTGTCTGTAGCTTGATAAGTCCATTTGTGACATCCGGCCACTTGTCTAAGAAAGCGTAGGTTCCAACTCCAATCAACAATCCGCCCAGCAACTGAAAAATTTAATTTCGATGTATAACAAAGGATATATATATATACACAACAAAGGACACACAACAAACAGAGATTGAAACCTTACGTAGACTATAAAAATTGTGTTATAAACTACCGTTCACAGGCCTCGCTTCTGAATAATTTCAAACCAATTACGGTACCAATAGTCCTACAAAAAAGATTCATCCAATAACTCGCCTCAAAATCAAAATCATCAAAGGAGCACATTTACACCATTGAGAGGCCCTACAGTGAAGAACACACATTCACACATGTGTGCCTCATTAAAACCCGTCATGATTGAACCATGATGATTCCTCTATCTGGATTGATTTTTACGAAGACGTTATAAAAGGAAAAGGTAAAATAAGATAACGGATTTAAAGATTAGCAAAAGGTTCATAGCCTATTAGCAGGACTTTACTATAGCCTACTAAAATTATTATGTTTGCCTCATTATACAAGTGAGGCCTACTACCAAAACTGTACAGTAGAATTATACTTTTCCGAATCCACTAATTAGGAAATTTGCCTATTCTAAACTAATTTCAGAAATATTTTTATGTAAGTACAAAGCTACAACATACTACAACATATTTCTATGCAAATGTTGTCATAACTAGCAATGTCAGAATAGCTCACAGTATTGCCATATGAAAATGTTGGAAGAGTTCACAATGTTGCTGCAAACTTAGTTAGTAGGTAAGTTATCAATAAGTTACTGTATCACCACGAACTTCGCCAAGGCTGGCAATCAAATCAAAGCTTTGATTCCCAATAGACAATAAAATTGCATATGGAATGGTCAATGAAAGGTTGGTTAAACATTTGTCAAGGAAGAGTACAATGGATGTAGGGTACAAGGTCAAAACAATAGATACAAAGAGAATATAAAATACATGCAGATGAGGATAACTACAAGAGAAAAAAGTAAAAAAACATTACTCAATATGTAATGGTCTAGGAAGTTCTAAAAAATTGTTTAGTTTGTAGAACGGGTTCTTTACTAGCCACATATGAATTTTAGCTTTACAAATTTTGTAAGGAAGCGATAGCAATTTGTTGGGCGATTTATTTCAACATTTTAGGCCCAGAATTTTATTACTTTTATTTGTTTTCCTCAGTCTAACATGGGGTATATCAAATTGATGTCCGTTTCTAGTTTGAAAATCATGATAATCACTCCTTGTCAGAGCCGGACTTACCTATGGGCGGAGAGGGCGATCGCCCGGGGCCCCCTTGCACTGTAGTTTTTATTAATAACTTCGAAAATTTATCAGACACTTATCAAATGGCCTTCTTTTGTAACAGCTTTATTTTTATTTTCGTTATTCTATATTTAAGGTTATTGTTAGGTACTTTTAAAGGCATTACTAGGAACGAAATTCTTGACCCTAAGGGACTTTTCCTCAGAGTTGCACTGGGCCCCGCGCTTAGGCCTGGTTTACACGAGCATATGTGCTAGACTGTGATGGACAAGTTTCAGTTTCAATGAAGTCGCTCGCCCGAACGTACGGCCGTGGCGAATGAGTTGAAGGGGGCCCCGCGCTTGGGGCAAAAATACAATAAATATGAAAACTCTTGTCCCAACGTAGAACGTAACTTGTAAAATTGTGTTGTGTTAAATGGAGATTCACTGGAGTTCAAATACTTTAAAAAATAAAAACATTGCTCCATTTATGTTTTATTAAATGTTATTATTTTCTTTTACTTCTAAGTATATACCAATCAGGATTTTAAGGGGTAGAAGTATATTATCCGTTCAATTTAAAGGTTTTGTAAAATAGTAATTAATTAAGTTATGCGTCGAAATGTTGATCTCCAATTTAGTCTTTGGAGTCAAAATCATACAGCGCCAGTAAGATTTTTTAAATCTATAGATCTTTTAGATCTATATATATCTATAAATCTATAGATATATATACATATATCAACGCTTTGTTCTTTCAATGTTGTCTACACCAAAAGAATTTAGTAAGCTAGTTAAAGAAGAAAAGATCCAAATTCTCAACATCACAATACATCACACTTTAAAACAACTGGAGTCGTCTGATGTTAACAAAAAATTACATTTATTTGGAGTGGGCGAGCGTTGTCGACTGAAATCGTAAACAAGTGATAAGCAGAAGCAGCTGCAACAATCAATGATAATGAGCTGATAAGGGATCCTGTCTAGTCCTGTCTGTCTCACGAACTCGCATACACACACATAAAATGCTTTATCGCCTATCCAAAACAATTTAAATCACTTTACTCCCATAGTTTGTCCTTTGAGACTAGTGGTCACGTCAAGTTGGTTGAAATTGTCTTACTTTTTGAGTTATTTTATTGTAATTCTGCAAACTAACAGTACAAAAACAAAGCTGAAGTGAATAAAGTTGTATTCAATGCTATGTTTGTGTTGTATTAATCGAAATTGGAACCATTTAAACATATTTCAGCTACTCATATAAATAGTTAGCTTGTGAGTGTTTATTAGACATTGCAAGATTTTGCTCGTCAATAAAAAACTCAAACTTGAAAGTCCTCAATGGTACTTTTCATGCTAGGACTTTAACATATTATAAAAACGAGAATACCATAGGTACCAAAACCATTATGAAAATAAAACAATCACACTAGGCCTATATTGTAGTAATATTGAAAAATCATACAAATCGACGGCAATAAACGATAATTTAAATACGTAATAAACAAAAATATATCAATGCTTCTAATCCAAATATATTATGGTAGCCTACCATGCTACCATAACCATACCAAATATGCCGTCACTGGTACTACAAAGCAATTGAAACATTTTGTCAGAGTTTGTTTAAATAGTGAATGCAAGAGATTAGGTTTCAAACATTTTTATTTTTTGTGTATAAAATTAAAAGATGCTGTAGCCTATATAAAAATATGTTAAAATAGTTATATTTGAAGAACAATTTTTGATATAGAACTTATTGCTTATTTGGCCTTAAATTGCTCTATTTGAAGCCTAAATTTAGAAATTTGTCCCCGGACCCCCCTTTGGCTTGGGGGGTATTCCATACCCCTCATACCCCCCGGAGGCCCCCCCACACTGAAATCCTAGGGCCCTATTGGAAAATTTGCCCGGGGCCCCTGAAGTCCTAAGTCCGGCCCTGCTCCTTGTGGCATGGGAGTCCATACCTTTAAAACTAGTTAAGGATGATATTAAATATATATAAATTAATAACGGTTAAAATATTAAAATCAATAAAAATGGGGCGACAATGTTCCTCAGTATCAACCCTAGCCATTATGCGCAGGACCTTTTTTTGAAATATTAAGACATCGGAGACATGAAAACTATTACCCCAAAGAAAGATACCATAGTTCAAGGCAGACTGAAATAAAGCAAAGTAAACTGATCTTAAATAACTAATAGGAACTAAAACTTGATAGTGATCAATATAAACAGGTGGAAAAAGCAATAAAAAACAGCTCTGGTCTGAGATTGATTTTCGATTACTCCCAACTAAAGGATGGTGGTTTATTGAAGGAAGCATTGGTGTTGGCCGAAAACAATATTCCATATTTCAAGAAAATCGCATCACCGCTGATAAAAGGAAAAGTTGCACCGATATTGAAAGATCAATTTGTACCATGATTCTTTCCCCTCCTCAGGTAGAATGGCAATTTTTGTCATCGGACGCAGAAAAGTACCTTTTGGTGTTGTGATGTCAACAACTCTTACTTGTCCATCTCGACCGGGGTATAGGGCAGATATTCTTCCAAGGGGCCAGGTGTAACTTGTATTGTCTTCGTCTACGATTATTGCCAAGTCGTCAACTTCAGGTGGAACAGTTCTTTTATGTCATTTGCACCTCCTTGTCAAGCAGGGTAAATACTCATGAATCCATCTTTGCCAAAAGTTGTCCAGTAGGGTCTTAACTCAAGTTAGTTGCCTTCTGCAAAGTTTGTCTTCAATGATATCTATTTTAAAGGCTTCTATAAGAAAATGGTTTGGTGTGAGTCGGTCTGGATCAAGTGGGTCAATTGGTACATTAGTCAGTGGTCTTGAATTGATGATAAATTCAATTTGAACAAGAAAGGTTCGAAGTTCTTCATCCTTAGGATACTGGGAACGCATGACAAATTTTAATGCGGTTTTAACTGATCTGATGAGTCTCTCCCAGCATCCACCCATATGTGGGGCTCGAGGAGGAATAAAGTTCCATTTGATACCTTGTCTGGATATGACCCTCTGAATGTGGACATTGTTTAAACACTTAGTAGCATTCCTGAGTTCTTTGTCACTCCCAACAAAGTTTGTCCCATTGTCCGAGAACATCTCCAATGGACAGGGTCTTCGGCTAATGAAACATTAGATTGCCATGATACAACTTTCTGTGTTCAAAGAATGTGCAACTTCCAAGTGGACAGCTCTAGTTGTCAAACATGTGAACAAAACTCACCAACGTTTCTCGTGTCTCCTCCCAACACTAACTTCTATCGGTCCGAAGTAATCTACTCCAGTGTAGAAGATCGGGTGGCTAGTTCTCGTTACTCTGAATTCTAGTAGAGGCGCCATTTGGGGGGGAACAGGCTTCACACAATTCAATCTGCACCTCATGCATTCTTTCTTAATTTTCTTCAGAATCGGTCTTAGATTTGTTATCCAGAATCTTTCTCTTATCTTGCACCCAACTGTCTCGAGACCTTGATGGAAACATTCATTATGATACATTTGTCCTATCAATCTCGAAGTAAAGTGTCGGCCATCTAATATTATAAGATTTTTCTGATCTTCCGTCAGTTCGGGTGAGTTTGAGGTTCTTGATGACATTCTTAAAATGTTGTTATAATCCAAATATGGAGAGAATGAATAAATGCGGCTTGACTTCGGAATAGACTTCTTTCTCATCAAAAGTTTCCTTTCTTCACCAAAGGTTTCATCCTGTACAGATTTCAAAAGAATTTCTTCGGAAGCTTTCAGTTCTTTAGGTTCTAGCTCAACGATGCTGTTGTAGTCTATTGGTCCAAATCGAAGTTGAGTTTTGTCGTTTGATTTGCACCTCGATTTTAAGTTATTGACATATCTTAAAATCCCCCATTGAATTACAGTAAGTTAGAACCCCGGTTAACCAAAATAAAGGGTGGGGAGCTGTTTCAGATAACCAATTTTTTGTTTAACCCGTTATAGGCAGAAGTTATTCTAAAAATAGCCTATGTATTACAACAGTGTGTAAAATGAATTTAAAACAATGTCTAGGCCTATTAAATATGTTGTTTTATTTCAACTAGGCTACAGAAATGCCACAATGGGTTAGAAAATACTTAAAGCTTACGTAACTTATTACTTATATTTTAGTCCTGTATTATTTTATGGAACCGTTTTGGTTAACCTGAATTCAGTAAAATGGGGTAGGCCTATTTCTGTAATATGATTTACTCAATGACAAAACTTGAATCAAACCAAAACCTGAACATTCTAACTTATGTTAGGCCTACTGTAAATCGATTGTAACAATCAATAATACAATGGAGTAGGGGGCAAAGTTCCCCAAGGGATTGATAAGTGATAATTTTGGCCAACTAAGTAAGTAGGCTCTGTTGTTTAAATGATGTTTAGGTTAACTTATAGGCTAGATCCAAACTTCTGTTTATTTTTGTGATTTTAAAAATGTTTTGAGTTGATTGCATTGATGCCGAATTCAGACACAAATATAGCTCAGGCTTTACTAACTTAATAAATACGTTTACACTAGGCCTACTGTACAGGATACTTTAGTAGTTAAGTAGTTAGGCCTAGTAGTCTAGTAAGAAGTTGAGTAAGATACTCACCCAGAAAGCGAAATTTAATAGGAAGATCATATATTTAACACACGAACTAACGTAAGTAAAATTACTTGGAGTCCTCCTTCTATTCATTTTTCAGTCAAGCTAAGAATAAGAATGCGAAAATCACAAAGAAAAATGTTTATATTTCGAGATAAACCTACAGACAGATAATTGCACGATATAAACTTGCAATTTATCTGATTTTGTAACACATTACAGAAAATAAGATGAATCTTTTAGATTGAGACTCTTCTTTCAGCTATAATTATTAAGATATACAATATGTTGAGGTAAATTGACTAAGTAATGTGAATAATCGCCATTGTTCATTTTGAAAGCAGGATGAATAACTCTACTACTAAGAAATCATTTTAGCAAGGGTACACAAAACGGTCAGCTAGAAACCTCAGCTACTAGCAATCAGAATTCAGAAAACAAAGCAGACATGGCAGAACGAGAACGCAGGGCACAGAATGGAATAATGACAGAAGATTTGATACTGACTGACACTTTTGTTTTGACACTACTGACAGTGACTAGCCTGAAGATAGCTGACGATCCTATCTGACGACCTAGATTTTTTGCCCTTTTGATTTACGACTTGCCAGTGGAAAGTAAGCAGGGTGCAAATAAAAGTAGACCTCAAAGTTAATCTTTGAAAGTGCTATTAGTGGTATGGGAGCTGGGAGTATAATTAATATTGTGAAACTTAACGATGTGTTTTCTTTTATTTCGGTGATTTTTAATCAATGTTGTTGTAGTTTAATACAGTATTGGCGTTGACTCACAGCCATACGGAGAACAACTCATTAGAAAATATTTCCTACTGAAATATCCTAAAGAATGCGCCTGGTCCCTTCGTGAGTGTTTGGGGAGTTTTGGAATTTTGTAACGTTCTAAAAATGCAACGCTTGCATCGAGAGCTTATAATTCCACGAATGGATGTCAAATCTTTCCAAACCAAACATATTTCAACAAATTACAAGCCAACTGCCCTAGTGGAAGAGATCAATATATGTCAATACAAAAATTGTATATTGATACGTATTGATACGTATGTGTATTTGGGCCAATACACATCAATACACATCAATACATATCAATACAAGTAAATATAGAATCCGAGTCATTAGCTTAATTGAAAATAATTTGTAGCTTGTTAATAAACAATTTTTAATTTGTTTCAACACATTGAATCACATCTACTATGCACTAAAAATAAAATAAAAATGAAAAAGTAAAATAATTCTTGTCAAAAAGCTCTTGGTGTTCCCGTGATTTGAACCTGGGACTCCAGCTTGGTAGGCGGCTGTCTAAGCCACTACGCCACCAACACGACAATGTAATGATAGCCACTTTGAATGCGAGAAGCTGTGTTAGGCCTCATAATTGAACTTGAAAAGATTTTTCAATGGCATTTGTGTCATTTCAAGCATGTACCCATGCATGTAATTATGCTTTAACATGTTTCAAAACTGTTTTATTACCAGTTCAAACTGTTTTCTTGCTACTTGGGTGATGTGAATAGTCATTAAATACATTTAAAACATTTTGATTTAAACTTCATATTACAGCAATGTTGATATAAGATTGAAACAATTTAAAAAATGTTTAACAATAAGTTTTTTGCAGTTGAAAAAAATAGTTTCAATACGAGCTGTGACTGTTTTACAACAATTTTAAAAATTTTTTACAATCAGTTTTTTGAAGTTTAAAAAAATTAGTTTTAATACAAGTTGTAAACTGATTTACAACAATTTTAAAATTGTTTAGCAATCAGTTTTTGGCAGTTTAAAAAATAAGATTTAATACAAGTTGTAACTGTTTTACAACAATTTTAAAATGATATATTTTTAAATTATATTGAGTTTTAGGTACCTCAACTAACGTCTATGACCTAAAACTAGAGTTTTTCCTTTTAAAAAAAATAACATTCTTATTACTGTTTATTTAACCACTTTAAATTAATAGTTTGTATAATCCATAATGCTCATATGTGATTCATTTTAGAGATATTTTGAATTTTATTTACCCGTATTGATGTCTATTGATTTATATTTACATCTAACATATTTAAAAAATATTCTCTATTGATATCAATGAACGATTTGTTTGCTCTAATGATCTATATTGATATATTTTATGTTTATAGATGTCTAGTGATATGTATTGACTAAGTTTTCAGTGATGTCTATTTGTTTGTATTTACTTGTAATGATATCCATGAACATCTATTGATATCACTAAGCATCTAGTGATATCAATAGATTTTTTCTATTGATTTCTATTGATGTCGTAGGGTGTATTACTCAACCTATTTAGCACGTAGGATAACGCGGGTGTTAACAACATAGTTGTAAACGTAGAGTTTGAGAATAAATTATGATTTTCGACGACAATAACAACTAAAACTTAGGTGGTACTGCTAACCAACATATGTACATGTTATAAATAATAGTTAAATCTAGAATAAACTACTAGAACATGAATATCACGAACGCGAACCCTAAAGAAATAGCACTGAACATGACTAAGTAGTGGATAATTCACGTAGAATTTGAGAATAAATTGTGATTTTCGACTACTATAACAATTAAAACTTAGGTGGTACTGCTAATTAGCATATGCACATGTTATAAGTAATAGTAAATTCTAGGATAATCTACTAGAACATGAATATCATGAACGCAAACCTTAATGAAATAGCTTTAAAAATTGCTAATAATTAGCCTAAGCGATGGCTCGTGTAGTAGAGTGTGAGAATAAATTGTGATTTTCGACGATCATCACTGCAAAATCGTAGGTGGTACTGATGATTCGCGTATGCACATGTGATAAATAATAGTAAATTCTAGAATTGTAAACTACTAGATCATGATTATCATGAACGCGGACCTTGAAGACATAGCTTTCAACATGGCAAATAATTAAGGGATGGCTCGCGTAGTAGAGTGTGAGAATAAATAGTGATTTTCGACTACTATAACAACTAAAACTTAGGTGGTACTGCTAATCAGCATATGTACATGTTATAAGTATTAGTAAATTCTAGGATAATAACCTACTAGAACATCAATAACACGAACGCGAACCTTAAAGAAATAGCTTTAAAAATTGCTAATAATCAGCCAAAGATGGCTCGCGCGTAGAGTGTGTGAGAATAAATTTTGATTTTCGACGATCATCACTGCAAAATCGTAGGTGGTACTGATGATTCGCGTATGCAAATGTTATAATTAATAATACATTCTACGATAGTAAACTACTAGAACATGAATATCACGAACGCGACCCTTAAAAAAATTGCTCTGAACATTGTGTATTAGGGCATGGCTGGGTTAGGGTTTGAGAATAAAACGTGGTTTTCGACGACTTTCACTTCAAAATCGTAGGTGGTACTGATAATTAGCTTATAAACATGTTATAAATAATAGTAAATTCTAGGATTGTAAACTACTAAAACATGATTATCACGAACGCGGACCTTAAAGAAATAACCTTTAACATGGCTAATAATTAAGGGATGACACTCGTAGTAGAGTGTGAGAATAAATAATTGCGATTTTCAACGACTATTACTGTAAAATCTTGGTATCCATCTAGGTCTTGCACGAATTAATTGTGATATTGCTTATGTTAATCATGAAAAATCCAAGATTAACGTGTGCGGTTTTAAGGTAATGAAGATTTTGTTTAAAGATATTGTTCGTAAGTACACGTAAGTTTAAAAATATTTTTGTTAGTACACCAACATTTTATTTAAATAAATAATGTTTGTTAAATATCTAAATTGAGTAAAAAATAATCTTTTGATGATCCAAAATTAAGAAACCCACCTGATTACGTATTTTCCTCCAATTCAAGCACCGCTGGGGAGGGGGCGGAGCATCTTCACATATTGTCCAATAGCAAACTCGTGCGCGTAAGGAGGGGGTAGTTCTCTAGTCTGGAGATTTTAGACTCTGAATTTTTATCAGAGTCAGTTTTCATCTTGTACTCTGAGGTAGAGGGTGTATTGTGGTTGTGTTTTCGTGTGTTATTGTGCGTAGTGCGCGTTGTGTGATGGTGACGGTCGAAGTTTGGAGGAGCCGGATCGGCCGATTCACTGGAGGCAGAGCACGTATGAAAAAAGGAGGTAAGGTGTTATCATCAAATTAATATCAAGAATCTCCATATAATGGAAATACAATTTTTTTCATATATAAATTTTTGTCACGTTTTGTGGTAAAGGCTATAATATTTAATTTATAACGAATTCAAACCTTAAAAACAGCTCAAGACATAGCATTTTAAGTGAATTGATAAGTGAATTGAATTGATTGAATTGACATCGTCGCGCGGCTTATGATCGTACGATCATAAGCCGCGCGGACGATCCGCCACGTGTGGCCCCGGCCTAACGCGAAGTTGTGCAGGAAACTTTCTTTTTAGGGAAATAATTAGAGAGTGAGGCCCTTTAAAGTTTCGTATTTCTCCATAAGATTAACATGGGAAACAAAAATGCTTATGCAACTCCAGCTGTTGGCAGAAATTAAATGTGAGAAGAAGAACATACGTTAATGTTGAACAGTCAATTAGTTTGCTAATTTAACAGTTTGCTACAAACATTAACTGACTTGGTTGAAATGAAATACATATATACTATTTGTATTTAGGTTGGCGTAAATATTACAATGGAAAAAACGAGAGAACCTGGATAAATTTATATATTCTGTTATGTACATCTTGAATATTTCCATAATCGTATGGTCGAATCTTTTAATAATATCATTCTTTTTAAATTACACCTCTAATACTTAGAAATTGCTCGAATTCGAGCAACAGGGACACTAGTCTTAATGTTAATACGCAAGCAGTTTTCTTTTCACAGTCATAACTCAATAACGGCTTGATGGATTTTAAAGTTTGAGGTGTCAAATTAAATGTACATAAGAGATACTATACATAAGAGATAACCAAAACAGTATGAGAGTGAATGTAAATTCAAACGAGTGTTAGCCCGTCCTACGTACGGGAATTCAGTGGTCAGTTAAAACCGTGTACAATTCAGATCAGCTAGTTTACACATAAAGACAAAGTTTCTTGCAGTTTTAATGTGAAGAATCATCTTGTAAACAAATGCTGTGTGACCAAATATGTTTTTATTTCATCATAGGCCTATACGATTATAGATATTGTATTATAGATATTGTAGATTACTTTCATATTTTTTGCATCATAATATTTTTGTATTTCTATAATCAGTCATATAAATTATTTTAGAGTGACTCTTTGATTAAGGTCTTGCTGTTTATATTTTTTTTTGTTTATTTTTGAAATATAAGTTTCAGTTTTGCTCGATTTCGAGCAACGGGCTATCTAGTAGTATAAATAAGTCAACCCAATGCATGCCATTATTATCCAATAATGATGGATTTGTGTAACACACGCTTAATGT